TGGCGCCAGCAGCTCGCCCATCCGCCAGACTCACCTGTCTGCAACCTGACCCGTTGCACGCCCAGCCCACAGGGCGGGAGAATCAACACAGCGGTTTTCCCCGTCCTCTTCCGCCCTGGAATGGCCCTTGGGGACACAGCAGCCTGGTAACGGATTTCTCGGCTTGGCTGGAATACTCTCCCGGCGCACAGAGAGGGGGCGCAGCTCTGCCCGGACTGCGGAGGGTACAGACGCGCCCCGCCTGGAGGTCTGCCCTCAGCGGGTCACCCTCTCTGGGCTCAACCCTGTCTGGACTCCAGATTTCTTCTCAAAACAACCGACTAAAAAGGAAGAAGACTGAGCCGGGGGAGGCGGAGAGGACGAGGAAGACATCTCCATGGCCGCACAAGAAAACCAGGCTTCCTTCTAGCCTATGAGGCTGATGGCGCAGCTTCTGCGAGACTCTGCAAATGTATTTATATCTGCCAACAAACTGGAGATTTGCTGGAAAGAAGGAGGTTGTTTGAATGAAAGTAAAAATAGCGTAAAACTGTGAAATCACGGAAGTATCCCCCAATCTCACAAAAGTCTTCAAAACTTCACTTCATTCGAAATGTCTTATTTTACAAAAAAGACCCCATTAACAGGGCTTTTTTTCCCCTCCTTTTACTGGATTTCAAATCACTGAGTGCCTGAACCACGTTGTCCATTATTTGAAAATATTACAGAATGATAGGATCTGAGGCTAGAAGCTTCAAAATGCAATGCAACATTCAGGGGATTGGGGGAAAAAATAACTGGTATAATTACACTTTTATTCAAAGGATTGTTGGATGCATGCCTGTTCTGATATTTGTGGGTGTTTCCTTGGAAGAAAAGAATTGTAATGTGTTACCTTTGTGTGTGTGTGTGATCAGACTTGAAATGGGTTTATCCACAATGTTATTAACATTTTCAAAGAACCGATTTTGCCCTTGATGACTTTTCTCTATTGTAAGTTCAGTTTTCTAAGTATCATGAGAGCTATTGATAGAGCATTGCCTAAAAGTAGGATGACATAAAAAAAAAAACAAGAAATGAACCCAATCCTTTAAAAATCTCAAAGCTTGGAGTTGGAAGAGACAGAAATCTATAGTCCACAGCTCAGCCAATATTGCACGGAGGAGGTGGCCCCACAGTGTCCTTGGTAGGTTTGGAGTCAGCCCTGGTTGAATACCTCCCATGCTGGAGAGCACATTTTTCAATAAAGTAGCTTATTCTCTGGTTAGACAACAAAGACGTTAGAGAGCTTTTCTTTCTGCTTCAAGAAAATCTGTGTCCCTGCATTTGCATCTCTCCTCCCCATTCTGCCCTCAGGGGCTGCTTCACCCCTCCCCCAGTAGTTCTTCAACCTTGTGGAAGTACCATCAGAGTTCTCACTTAAGACTTCTTTTCTCCGGTAATGTATGGTCAGGTTGAAGTCGACAGGTACAAACCTGCTCAGTGGCATCCTTAGAGCATATAGTTATAAGGAGAGGTTAGGATGTTAGGGAAATATGCCTTTAAATTTTTTTAACTTTATATTGATATATAATCTGGTGTTAGAAAAAAAATACACACATCATAAGTGCACAGCTTGATATTCACAAACTGAATTCACTTTAGAACTAGCACCCCAGAACAAGACAAAGCTGCCTGCCCTCCCCATTCCATTCAACATTAGATCAGCTTGCTCACAGGTTTGATAAGGCAAAAAAGAAGAAATAAAGGTATAAATAACAAACCATCATTATTTGTAGTCAGTATGATTGCCTATGTGGAAAACTCAAAAGACTCCTCAGATAAATTATTAAAAATAATGAGAGTTTAGCAAGGTTGTCGTATAGGAAAATCTGTGTGTGTGTGAGAGAGTGGGTATTTGTTGTATCAGCTGCATTTCCATACAGTAACAGTCAGAAAAATTAAAAGTCTAATGAAAAAAATTGCCTACAACAGCAACCAAAATATAAAGTCCCCTGAAATAATTTTTTAAATATTGTGCAAGTTCCCTGTGGATAAAATTTGAAAACTTTTTATTCGAAGATGTTAAAGAAGATACTAATCAATGGAAAAATGTATCATACTAGTGGAGTGGATGACTCTGAGTCAAAAAAAAGTCAAAAATCCCCAAATTCATCTGTAGATTTAATACAATTCTTAAAAATACTTGAGAAAAAGTTTTTTTGTGTGGGCTCTGACTAAATTGTTCTAAAGTTTATATGAAAGAATAACCAACACACTCCTGAAGGAAAAAAAAGGATGTAGACTCAATCTATGAGACATCACTAGTAATTAAAATAGTGTGTGTTGGTGCACAGGTAGACACTGGTGCACAGGTAAGCCATCAGTGCAGAACAGAGAGCCCAGAAACAGACCCACACACATGTGAGTGTTTGATTCATGAGAGAAGGCATTGCAGAACAGCGGGGAAAGATGTGTTTGTTATTCAATATGTGGAGGTGGAACAATTGGTTATTCTTTGGGGAAAAATAAATTGAATCATGCACACACAATTTCTGGTGGATTAAACATCAAAATGTGCATGTATACATAGATAGATAAATAATGTAGAATAATCTTATAATCACAGGACAGAGAAGGATTTTTTAAGAAACAAAACAAAAACCGTAAAAGAAATATTTGGTAAGTCTGCAGAAAAATTTTTAATGTATCAAAACACACAACCGAGAAAATGATAAGCTAAACAACAGTGAACATTTTGCAACACGTTTATCTTACAAATGGTTAGAATCCAGAACATACAGAGAACTCTTATGAATGAATAAGAAAGAGAAAAACTTAATAGAAAAATAGCAAGACACGAACAGGCATCTTCCAGAAGAGAAAACATGAATGGCCCATCAACATATAAAAAGATAATCAATCTCATTAGTAAATAGGAAAATGCAAATTAAAATGACAATGAAATACTATTTCACATTTACCAGACTGGCACAACGTAAAAGTTTGACAATACTCAGTGTTGATGAGACTACTGAAACATTGCTAATAGCTGTGTAAATTGATTCAAATATTTTGGAAGAGTTTGACTTTATCTAGTGGACATACACATATTAAATGACCCAGAAGTTCCACTTTAAGTTTTGTATTCTATAAAAAATGTTGCACTTTTGCACCAAGAGTCACAGACAAGAATATTCATGGTATTGTCATTTGTCACAAAGAAATAAAAATATCAACAAAACCTGAATGACCATCAGTGACTGACTGGATTAATATTCTGTGATAAATCTGTACAGTGAAAATGAATGGGGGACAGCCACACACATTAACAAAAGTAAATCTCAAAAACATATTGCTGAATGAAAAAAGCAAGTTATAGAAGAATTGTACTATAAGATTAAAATGATTTTAAAAAACAGATCAAAGCAAGCAGTGTCTGGTTTAGGAATACAGACACCTGTTAAAACTAGTAGGAAGCAAGCAACAGCTTGGAGGGATCTCCAGAATGTGCTGAGTTTAAAAAAGCAATCCCTCCCCACCCCGAACATAAATAAATAAAGTGAAAAATAAATAAACAAGCAATCTCAAATTATCTCCCCCTCCCAACCCCCCCAAAATAATAAAATTTTTAAAAATTAAAAAGTAATCCTAATGGTTACACAT